CTCATTTTTGTGCAATGCATAGGAAGTATCATATAAACCAAAGAGACTTACTATGACACAATACGATGGTTGTTCGTAGACCGTGTACAGTTGGGCTGTCTCCGTATTCGTTACACGTGCGTATTTTTCCACCACCTCTTCCTCTTCCGTTGCCTCATTTTCCCCCTCTCCCTCGTTCCCATTCATTGCCTCCTCCTCATTCTCAACTTCTTCGTCTTCTACGTCTTCTCCCTCTGCTGTCTTATCCTCATCTTCGTCCTCATACGTCTTGTGTTTTGCTGTGTTCGTTGATTCTTTACGTGGTCGCAAGTCTGCCGCGTGCTGAATGATTGCTCCGTTAATTTCATTGCTTTGAGCTTCGTCTACTTCAATTGACACACGTTGAGGCATCTCAAAGGACTTCGCCGAAGCACACTGGCCACCGTTCATCCTGCGTTTTCACGTCGATGATTGCAGGCCACCCGGCATTGTGTCCGCTTATATATGCTTACGGTGATGGATCGAAGGTGCGAGTGAGGCAAATTTGTGTCAAGTCTACGATAAATGTGCAACTTCTCACATGCAATTATCGGATTGCGCGCGACAAATGTGTCCGCTCAAATATGGTCTAGGTGATGAATCGAAGGTGCGAGTGAGGCAAGTTTGTGCTAACGCCACGATAAATGTGGGATTGCGCGTGACAAATGTCTTTACGTGTGAAAGCACCAGATATGTCACGAAGCATCACACAAATTGTTGAGTTGAATCTAAGTCATGTTCGCTTAAACTCAGTGAGAAGGTTTTGCCGACTGCATGCTGATCGTCGTCTTAGGGGACAGCAGTTAGACGAGAGCACGTGAAAGTGGGTCAACTGGCTGCATTTACTAATCATTCCAGTGCGCAAATACCATGACTGTGGTTCTGTTCGCGATGGCATGAGGCGAATGCTGGCGTGTCGCATCAGGCGAGTAGATGTTCGTAGGAATTGCAAAAGGTGGTAAGGGATGTGGGTGACTCCTAGTCTGTTTGATGTCTTCCACACAGCTCGTCATGCCACACATTAATATGTGGGTGTAGTGATTCATGCTCATTAATGCGGTAGCTCCGTTTTTCGACTCACTGCCGTCATTTCATAGCATGCCATCAATGAAGCGGACCTCAACTCACGCCTCATTTCCGTGAACAGGCATCTGCGATAATCACCACACGTGATAACATTCACGTAGGTCTCGATGTTAGCACATCTATGCCTCATGCCGTTTCAATCGTCTTAGCTGTGAACACGCTCGCCCAAACGCCACATAACCCCTCACTCCACGCACTCAAAATGCGTGACACCAAACATCATACGCACGGGCACACACCAACGATGACGTGTTACATTTCTCGAAAACACGCATGTCCCTTTGCTGTCTTAAAGGGGTGCCGACTCATAACACTGCTACTTCAATTTTATCCACATAACATACGCATGGTTCCGAGGTCTAACCTACAAAACTGGCGTGTTCCACTGAATTAAGCAATTTAGGGAATATATCTCACTTCGAATTCAATCGTCGCGAACGCTTTGTCGGCCATTCTCTCTGTCACTGTGAATAATACTAGAGTATTTTGAGGTCAGCAGCTTCAGGCCTTCTAGCTGTTCAAAAGACATAAACGTTAGTTTCGTGTATGTGACTATCCTTCTGTACAGCTCACCAAAAACGCAACGTAGCATGCAGCATTTGCATCATTCCGTCTGTACGCCACTTGTTACAGATCGTTTTA